GGCTGTTCTTACAGAATGCATATACCACACACACACACACAGAGAGAGAGAGAGAGAGAGAGAGAGAGAGAGAGAGAGAGAGAGAGAGAGAGCTCTACAATTTTTGTCTGTGTTTCACCGTTTCCAAAATCGGTCACAAATTATTGCACACATGTATGAGGAACTATTATGTTATGTGCTTTACATGCACAGTTCTCTCCCTTGTATTTCAGTTTCATTGTGATATTTTTTGTTTGTTCTTTGTTTTGTGTTTTTTGTTTGTTTGTTTTGACATGGGGGTCTCATGTAGCTCGGCTGACCTTGAACTTGCTACATAGCTGAGCACAATTTAGACTCCTGGTTCTCTTGCCTCCACACCTGGAGTGCTGGGAATACAGGCATGCATCACCACGCCTGGCTGTAACTCAGCCTTCAGTCCTTCAGCACTGTGAAGCACTTGGCCCCACCTCTTATTCCCCAGACAGTCTCAGCATTCAAAGAAGCCCTTGCCTTCTTCCTCACCCAAGAATTCCCCCTTGTCAGACACTCATTTCTAGAATTCCTGCCTAGCCCACAGTTCTTGGCTTTTGTCCTCTGTCTCCCAAAGCGTCTCTGATAGGGCTCTACCCAATGGACTTTTCACTCCATCATCAGATGTTGGGCAAAGCAAAGAGGGTGGGGCTTTGACTCTGCTGACCAGACTACTGCTCTTGCAGCGGTTGTTTTTCTGAATGAATGTTGCATGGGAATACACAGAAGCTTGGCTCTGCCATTTCATTAATATCATTATCTCAGGTGCATTACTGTTACATCAGCTTTTATAGGCTGGTAAAAATCCAACTAATACTATTTCTTTATGATATATATTCTGAATTATATATCTTACAATCAAAGTTTCAGCATATAGTCCATTGACTCGGCCATTACTCACATTTTGTAAGAGCATAAAATAATATTGTAAAAGTTGAATATTTCTGAGTTGGAGAATTAACCTTAAACTATTATTTTTAGGAATTGCAGTGTTTTGCCTTTGGGCTTTTCGTTGTTTTTTTTTTTTTTTTTTTTTTTTTCCTTGGGGGGCCCCAGGTGTTTCCCCGTAAAAAACCACAATTTTTCATA